GAGCACCAACAGTGGCCACCGCACCCCGTTCAGGTGCAGTGCCATGTCTGAGTTAGCTCTGTCCTGTACAACTACACACTTTCCTAGGCAACAGCAGCTTTTGCCCTAGTGGGAAGCTGGGCTGAACTAGAGTGATCTGGAGCAGTTACTTGGCACGGGCTGGGGCACACGCTGGCACCATTGTGGGAAACCAGCCAGAGTCCTAAGCAGTTTCAGTCTACTTCCTCTGCCTTGTTCCTGGTAGTAAGCAAGAATGTGCACGTTGTTCATGAGCAAAGTCTAGGTTTCTTATAGCCATCCTGTTAGTTTCACTGGTTTTCAAACCATCTAAAGGGACTCATCTTCCTGGCGTCAGAGCCCAGGGATGGGATGCCCAGTATGTGGTTTGAACTGCTCACTCCCCAGGGAGGATCGCTGAGTCTGCGTATTCCCCCTCCTCTTCTCTTTCCCCTCCTAGGGGCCATGTCTCCCTGCCTGGTTCCATCTCTTCTTTCCTCCTTGACTCCGTGTGGATCTTTCTGAGCAGTCTTGGTTGTATACGAGTCTTTCTGCCAATCTCCAGTTTGTTTTTGATAAGAATTGGTCCACACATAGATATATTTTGATGTGTTCATGGTGGGAAGTGGGTTCAGTGTCCTCCTACTCTGCCATCTTGATCTACTCATTTTAGTATAAGAGGAGAATGGACTTCCAGGAAAATGAAGAACAATCCACTGATAAGTTATGGTGAAGAAAATAATGCAACTATGGGTCTGATAAGGCTAACGATGACTGAACTTGAGTAAGATGCCAGGAATGATTAGCTATAAACTCTTTTAAAATTCATATCCAGTAGTATCAGTTTATTAGGCTCACATTCCTAGGACCTGGTACAATGTAAACAGATGGGGCTAGAGATGAGATGGTGTAGTATGAGAATTTCATTGAGAGAAAGGAAATAACTTATGTCAGGAATCCCATAATAAAAATGAGGGGAGAAAAATGAAAAAGACTTGGTTAATAAAAGTACTTTGGGTCCCTTCATAGTAGTGGGTGGTAAGCTCTTCAACTCTGAAGTTCTTCCAGCAGGCAGAAGAAAACAGAACATTGCTTGATTCAAAAATTCAAATACTCATAGGGGTCGGGGAAGTAACATAAATTAGTGAGTCATGCTGGGCTGGGTGCAAGACTGTAGGGGCTGGTAAGGAATGGGGTGGTCTCAAGAGCACAAGCTTATCTAAAGCCATTTAAATCCAGATTTTCTTAAACTACTACTACTATGACAGCCAATCAAAACATGTGAACCCAGGCCCTGGGCAACTGGTTGCAACCCCTAAAATAATGAAGTTGGGGAGAAGAAAGCAAGAGAGAAAGAGTGAGGGAAAGGTAAGGGAGTAAGGGAAACAAATTAAATCATGCTAGTTGATAAAAATTACAGAGAAGGCTAATGGAGTAAGCACAGAAAAAAAAAGCTGGAATTGAACCCTAGCAGATTCCAGTGACACCTCATTATCTTATATTGCTGTTTTCACCCCAAATGGGGCTTCCAGTAAGTTGACTCTACAGAGAAACTGCTTCCTTGGAGCCCTCTTAGAGAGCACAGTGGGTTGAGTGGGGAAGAGAATAAGAGTGCTGCTTCTTCATCTACTTCAAAGTCTGGAGGTAGAACTCTGACTTCTGAACCAGTATTACTTGTTAAAATGTGGATTCTGATTCAGTAGGTTTCCAAGGGGTCGGGCCTGACATCCTGCATTTCAGTAACCTCCCAGGTGATGCTCATGCTGTTGATCCCTGTAGAGCACAATTTGAATAGCAAGGTATCAAATAACTCTTGGATCAAGAAGAAATGAAGACTACTACCTAAATATATTTAGAAAATCATAGGTAGTAAAGATATGGCACAATGAGGGACATTTCTCCTTTCTACGTCAGGCCAGTCTTTGAATTTTGTAATTTTGTTGAAGACATCAAAGGGCAGAGACCAGTCAAAAAGGGGTCACTCTTCCTAGCAGCCAAGTGTGGCTGTGGGATTCAGTTCTGGCCAATGGGATGTGAGCTTCAGTAACATGTGCAACTTTTGGGTTATGCCTTTGAAAGGAAGGATGTTCCCTCCCCTTCTTTCTCTTCTCTCTGGCTGGAATGCAGACACAGTATTTTGGACCATGTGGACCAGGGCAATAGCTAAGGGATAGCACAGCAAAAAGAGAAAGGGACTGAACTTTGTAGAGCAGAACAGCCACACTGGCTATGACATTCATATTAGAGAGAAAACAGTTCTAACTTTTTAAAGCCAGTGCTTATTTTGGGTCTGTCAAGTGCAATCAGTCCTATATCATAAGTAGCATGGAACCACACTGCTAATTTCATTTATTGTATCAGTCACGGTTCAGTTACAGAGAACAGAATTCATCTGGCCAGTTTAAGATTAGTACAGGGAATTAAATGGCCAGTGGAAATGTTAAGAGTGGGCTGAAGACCAGATGCTGGGTTGAGCTTTCAGAAATGACTCTGAAAACCACACTGCAAATGGTGTCACCAAAGCAGCTGTTGTATCTTCCACCTCATAAAACTGCTGCTGCTACAGAAACACACTGTCCTGGGGAGGATGCCACCACAAACAGGAAACTGTCATTACTACTGTGGGCTCCAGAACCACATGGCCTTTGCTGTGATCTGCACCAGCAAAATGATGCCTTGTGCCTGCCTCATGACATCCCTAAAAGTAGACTGGCACAGAGACCTCTGCTAATTCAGCTGCAGAAAAATTAATCATTTCCATCTGTGCCCAACAGCAGAAGCTCTACCTCTGCCTTTCTTTTTTCCAAAATTTGCATGGCTGCACCTGATTGGCCAGATCTAAATCTCATGCAAATCCCTATCTGCTAGGGAATCTGGGAAATGTAGTTTTTAGCTTTCCAGGCTCTGCAGTTCAAGACGCAACAGAAGCACAATAGAGTGAACACTGAGTACTAGTCTACCATATGCACAGTAACCTCTCACACACAAAAGATGGTACCTGTCAAAACTTATGGGACACACCAAAATTGTTCTTGAAGGGAAATTCATAGCCTTAGATGCTTTCATTAGTAATCAGGAAAAGAAAAATGAACTAACTAGTCAACTCAAGAAGCTGTACAAGGAGTGATAAAATTGACCTAAAAAATACAAATGGAATGAATTTTTTAATATAAAGACTTAAATTACTTTTAAAGCAAAATGATTAGTAAATACACAAAAGCTTATTCTCTAAAAGCACAACAAAATAAAAATATCTCTAGAAGATTAATTTAGAAGAAGTGGAGAAAACATTCAGAATGATGAAAAGAACAACACATGAAGATAGAGGGGGAAATTTTAGACATTTCAAATATTTTAAACAATACAATGAATTCCCATGTACCTATCAGTCAGCTTCAGCAAACATTTTGCCAGTTTATTGTTTATTTCTCTCTCTTACTCTCTCCACTCCCCACTTTTTTTGGTCCATTTTAAGGAAATCAATACAGCATAGCATTTTACCCATAAATACTTCATACTATATCACTAACAAATTAGGACTTTGAAAATGTGTACCTGAACCACAATATTATTACACTGAACAAAGTAACAATACTTTTTAATATCATCTAGTACCCCGTATGTGTTCAAACTTCCTTCTTGGTATCAAACTCTTAATAATTGTTTTATTCAAATTAGTATCCAAACAAGGTCCACACATCGTGTTTAGTTAATATGTTGCTTAAGTACCTCTAATCTGCAACAACTATTCCCTCCCCTTTTACCCCCACATGCCATTTATTTGTTATAGAAGCAAGGTTATTTGTCCCCTGAATTTTCCACATTCTTAATTTGGCTGATTGCATCTTTATGAAAAAGACTTTTTTGTTTTTGTTGGGGGGAGGTAATTAGGTTTGTTTGTTTGTTTGCTTATTTATTTATTTAAATGGAGTTACTGGAGAATGAACCCAGGACCTCATGCATACTAAGCATGCACCCTACCACTGAACTATACCCTCCCCAAGAAAAAAGACAATTTTTTAAGTGAGAAAATATTAGATACAGTTCTACAATGATAAATTTGAATATCCTAAGAAAAATCAACATTTTCTAAGAAAATAAAATATTTAAAAATTTACCAAAAAAGAAGTGAAAAACATGAGTAAGTTCAGAATAGACATTGGAAAAAGGTAAAGATGTATCCAAAACCACCACATCCAGAAGGTTTTATAGATAAATTGTTCCAAATATTCAAGGAGAAATTAATTTTTTCATTTTTAAGCTATTTAAGAGCATGGAGAGAATATAGAAATCTTGTCAATTTTACAAAGTTACCATTAAAATGATTAAAAAATTTAAAAAACATCATAAAGGCAGAAACTACACACACATGTCTTATGGAAATATATATATGAATTAAAAATTAGAGAATAAAATACTAGCAAGATATTAAAAGAACCATACACCCTAAGAAAATAAGATTTATTCTAGCAATTTAGAGATGGTTCAGCATTAGTATAATATTCTCAAGGTTCGTCCATCTTGTAGTCTGTAACAGGATTTCCTTCTTTTTTAAAGAATGAATAATACTCTGTTGCACACTACATTCTATTGTATACCTCATTCTATTGTACACCACATTTTCTTTATCCATTCATCTGTTTATGGACACTTGTGTTGCTTCTACCTCTTGGCTATTGAGAATAATGCTGCAGGATACATGAATGTGCAGACAGTTCTTTGAGATCCTGCTTTGAATTCTTTTGGGAAAAAAAAAATCTCTGAAGGGCAAATAAAATATAGCTTCTAGCCAGAATCAGACTGTAAGCTGACAATTTGCAATCCCTATTATCTTTTATTTATTTACCTTTATGGTGGGGACAATGGAAGGACAGTCTTAGCCCTGGCAGAGAAGAGAAAGCTCTGAACAGAGTCTAGTAGGATGAGGAGTTACCCAGATGCAGATGTTAAAGGTAGTTTATTCCAGACAAAATGAGCAGTACTAAGAAGCAAGTATGGGGAAGGAGGGCATAGCTCAGTGGTAGAGCACATACTTACTATGCATGAAGTCCTGGGTTCAATTCCCAGTACTTACATTAAAAAGTTAATAATAAAATTTTAAAAAGAAAGTATGGGAGAAAACAAGTGGCTGGAGAGGTCTGAATTTGGGCTGGCAGTGAAGGATAGCCATGATGAAAGGCAGGATGGTTATATTGGTTGTTTGCAAGTAAATATCATTGGAATTAAATGTCTCTGACTTTGAGGATAGCATCACTTGTGCTCCCAGGTTAAAAGAGTCTTGAGGTGAGGTGAAGGTGCTAAACCAGGCATCTAGCTCCCAAAGAGCATAGCAGAGTGAAAAGTAGACACAGATGACAGTCCCAAGTGATTATGGATGAAATTATCTAGAAAGGGAGTTCCACGAGGTCATGAGGCATTAATCTGGATTTGGCAATGGGGAGGAAGGTGAATGTGGTTCTTAGAGGAAGTGCTCTGAGAAGAATATTCCTGGGCAAAGTGGAGCCCTAGTTAATTGGGCTTCACCCAGTCTTACTCTGCAGAGGAGCCAACTGCCCACTCACGACAAAGAGTTATCATTGTGCCTTGATGGCATCTGTAGGTAGGGAATGGGAAACAACGGGAAGCAAGATGGGGTCAGAGATGTACCGTATGGGAGGATTGCGGGGTGAAGTGTCTTGTGGGCATCCCTCAGGGGGCAAGATGGACATTCCACTTCGTGGTTCATGTGTCAAGACTGATGTGGTCCAAGTGGGTATGAAACGTTTATTACTCACACAGTGAGGCTTTCTTGGGAGAGTAGGACAAACTCCTAAGTAGGTCTGAAAATAGCTGGAGAGAGCCAGAAGGGGAGACTGACTTGGGGCTCTATAATGGTTAGAATGTGGAGCTGGGCTGAAGGTTCCCTCACGCTGGCAAAGATTTTCTAGGTTTTAACTTCCTACCACTGCTGAAGGTGGGAGCACCTGGGCTTTCTTATCAACTTGCTCAGATGAGGCATAAGGGAAAGGGAGAGTGCAAGGCTTGAAGCTGTCAGCCATCAGAGATCAAAAATGAGGGGCAGACTCTGTTTAAAGTGCCAGAGAGCATTGGTGAGCTCAAGAGAATTAAAAGCACAGGGGTGCCCATCAGACATCTGCTTAATCCCTTGAAGACATGAGTAACCAGGGACGTTGGAGGCCAAAACTATAGCTCATGTGAAATGTTGGAATGTTTATTATAATTTTCCATGTTTCTCATTTATATTATTTCCAGTCTGTTTTCTGTACGGGTTATCAGACAATTCACATAACAAAAAGGGCCAGTAATCTTGTCATCACGGGTAGTGTGTGTGTGTGTGTGTGTGTGTGTGTGTGTGTGTGGTGTGAGATATAGCTGATAGGTGCTCAGCATCTATTTCCATCTTATTTGCATGTCTTCTGATACTGCAGAGGCTGGAAACAGGAAATCACATTTGCTTTACTCTTCTGGATGAATTTTATTATGTACATATTGCTTTATGTGTAGAAAGCAGAAGTGAAGCCATCTTCCTTCTGTTTTCTGGCTGAATTCCTGCTGATGAGCCAGATCTTGGAGCAGGGTGGGTTTCTGAAGTGGTTCTAGTGTCCAGGAACCAGCTTCGTGGGCACTGATAAGCTGTTGTCGTGTGGCAGCAGTAGGCTCCTCATCCTTCTTTTCTGATCGCTGCATCACAGCTGTGGTTGTGAACCACATGATGTATGAACTCAGATCCTGTGTCAGCCTACCGATTGCCCACTCTCCTGATTGTTACAGAGTTACTAGCTTGCCTGGCTGGCCAGTTCTGCATTGTTCTGGGGGTTATTCCTGGAGGTCCAGCCTAGAGCCTGCCCCTCCAGCCATTCTAGTTAACTTGCAGACACCCAGTTCCCTGTATTACACTCCGTTGTGCTTAATACAGCAAGATTGGTTTCTGCTTCTGGCCTTGAACTTTATTGTTATTGTGTGTTTGTGTTGGTAAGGGGAGCCTGGTTTGGGAGCAAGGGAAGTGTGGAGATTATGTCAACTCCAAACCGTGTTTTGAGATGGGGAAGTGTAGGGGCTTCACAGGTGTGAGAGACTGGTGGCCTTTTTAGAAAGAAACCTGGCTGATCTTAGGGAGATCAGCTGGGACCTGAAATGGTGCATTGTATCAGTGGTGGGGTGAGGCGGGAAAGCCTTTGGGGTTCCCAGACATCTTCCCTCTGACTCCCCTGAACTTGGAGCTACAAAAGAAGAGGGATTTAGGACAGTTTCTTCAATCAGTAGATAAAGATGTTTAGTATTTTACTGATTGTTCTGAATATTCATTGATTTGCTTCTAAATTTCTGGAAACTTATGTTATAGAGTTCAAGCTTGTACTGCTCACCATATGCATGATAGGCCAAACAATGGAGAGACGAGGCGCTGGGGCTAGGAATAGCGACTTTATTTGGAAAGTCCACAGACCAGGAAGATGGTAGACTAGTGTTCCAAAGGACAACCTTAACGTGACTTAGAATTCAGGCTTCTTTTATACTAAAAGGGGAGGGAGTGTGGCTGGTTGCTGCAAATTTCTTGGTGCTGGCCAGACCCCAGAGGGGATATGATAATCCTTTGTTTTTGCAACTGTCCACATAGGTCTGGTCAAGATGTTCCTGTAAACCTTCAACAAGGCAAATATTATTCTCTGTTCTGCAACTTTTTATCTTTATATGAATGGAAAAGTGGTAAACCTTAAAAGGCCAAGCCTTGGAGGCGGAGCCTTGAGAAAGGGCTATTGTGTATATTTCAGGCTGTAGGCAACGTTCCTTTTCACAGGTGCAGAGCTAGCGTGTCTAAGCACAGGCAACAGAGCACAAAGGTTAGAGCTAAGGGAATAGATCCAATATGGAGTCAGGTTTGTTCTTCTCTGTTACATTTATTCTTCTAGTAGTTTTTATATTCTGAGTGCAGTCACAATATACTTGAAAAACTCCTTTTCCTTTTTCCTTTTCTCCTCCATAGAGGAGAGGTGGGAATAGATCCAATATGGAGTCAGGTTTGTTCTTCTCTGTTACATTTATTCTTCTAGTAGTTTTTATATTCTGAGTGCAGTCACAATATACTTGAAAAACTCCTTTTCCTTTTTCCTTTTCTCCTCCATAGAGGAGAGGTAACTTGATATGATCTCAATTTGAACTCATGCAGCCATCCCTGAATTTAGTAGAATAAAAATGAAGTTTGCCTAGGGCAAATGTAGTGACAATTTCTAAGATTTTTAAGGATATATTGATACCTTAATTCTATCTCATACAGTACTAGCAGGGTAAATCATTCTTTGATTCTGATTTTCTTTTAAATTAAAATATAGTCGATTCACAATGTTGTGTTAATTTCTGGTGTACAGCATAGTGATTCAGTTATGTATATATATATATATATGTATATATTCTTTTTCATGTTATTTTTCATTATAGGCAATTACTGGGTATCGAATATAGTTCCTTGTGCAATACAGAAGAAATTTGCTTTTTATCTATTCTATATACAGTAGTTAATATCTGTAAATCTTAAACTCCCAGTTTATGCCTCCCTACCTCTTTCCCCTCCTAGTAACCCTAAGTTTGTTTTCTGTGTCTGTTAGTCTGTCTCTGTTTTGTGTCCTGTTTTTAGATTCTACATGTAAGAGATATCATATGGTATTTTTCTTTCTCTTTCTTACTTACTTCATCAGTATGTGATCTCCAGGTCCGTCCATGTTGCTGTAAATGGCATTTTCCTTTTTTATGGCTAAGTAGTATTCCATGGTATATACATACCACAACTTCTTTTTTTAACATTTTTTATTGATTTATAATCATTTTATAATGTTGTATCAAATTCCAGTGTAGAGCACAATTTTTCAGTTATACATGAACACATATATATTCATTGTCACATTTTTTTCTCCGTTAGCTACCATAAGACCTTGTATATATCTCCCTGTGCTATACAGTATAATCTTGTTTATGTATTCTACAATTTTGAAATCCCAGTCTATCCCTTCCCTCCCTCTACCCCCTTGGCAACCACACACAACTTTATCCAGTCATCTGTCAATGGACATTTAGGTTGTTTCCATGTCTTGGCTATTGTAAATATTGCTGCTCGAGCATTGGGGGTGCATGTATCTTTTCAAACTAGAGTTCCCTCTGGATCTATGCCTAGGAGTGGGATTGCAGGATCATAGGGAAGTCTAGCTTCAGTTTTTTAAGGAATCTCCATACTGTTTCCCATAATAGCTGCACCAGACTGCATTCCCACCAGCAGTGAAGGAGGGTTCCCTTTTCTCCACAGCCTCTCCAGCATTTGCCATTTGTGGATTTTTGAATGATGGCCATTCTGACTGGTGTGAGGTGATGCCTCATTGTAGTTTTGATTTACGTTTCTCTGATAATTAGTAATATTGAGCATTTTTTCTTGTGCCTATTGGCTATTTGTATGTCTTCATTGGAGAAATGTTTGTTTGGGTCTTCTGCTCATTTTTTGATTAGATTGAGTTATATGAGCTGTTTGTATATTCTAGAAATTAAGCCCTTGTCAGTCACTTCATTTGCAAATATTTTCTCTCATTCTGTAGGTTGTCTTTTAATTCTGTTTGTGGTTTCCTTTGCTGTGCAAAAGCTTATAACTTTAATTCGGTCCCATTTGTTTATTTTTGCTTTTATTTCTATTGCCTTGGTAGACTGCCTAGGAGGACATTACTATGATTTATATCAGAGAATGTTTTGCCTATATTCTTTTCTAGGAGGTTTATGGTGTCTTTGTTTTATGCTTAAGTCTTTAAGACATTTTGAGTTTATTTTTGTGTATGGTGTGAGGGAGTGCTCTAACTTCACTGATGTACATGTGGGCTGTCCAGCTTTCCCAACACCACTTGTGGAAGAGACTGTCCTGTTGGTTTATAAACTTTCATTGATATCTTCTGGTAAAAGTAACTTATGACAGTATCAAAAGCTGCAGAATAGATGTCAGCAGCTTGGGAGAAAACCCAAAGTCAATATTAAAATATTAAGTGGCTTTCTAAGGCAGGCTGAGTAAGCACTCTTTTAATAGATGCTGTATATTGCTAATAGTCTG